TCCCACATGCACTATTAATTTAGATCTAATCAGAACTATTGCACATGGAATAATTACCCATTGATTACAAGGGACATATTTATTGAAGATAAATCATACCTAGTATATTACGTGGCTGTTAATCCTCCTCTGGCATGCTTTAAATAATTAATTGGTGGTTATTGAACTCGGAAAAAGAGTCATTAAGTAGTTAGACTGCAGAGAAGTTGCTCTGCCTGGTGTTGCTCTTGGTTTTGAGAGCGGACACACGAAGCCAAGCAGGGCAAAGACCTTCAGGACTCTCAGCAGCCAGTCCCTTACCAAGCCTGATATTCAATAAAGCCACACCAGCAGCAGACAGGGGCCCTCAATACACACCAATGACTCCGGACTCACTGCCCAGAAACTCCCTGTGATGGTCTCAGGCCCTTCTGAGTGCTGCCCAGAGTGGTTCTGCTGCTGGGGAGCTGGGTGGGAGCTGCCCAGGGCTGTGGAGCGCAGGCACTCGCTGTGATAGAGGCAGGGGTTGGCTTTGCTGCTGCAAATCAAAAGAATGACACGGATTTGTGGCCTATCATCTTTGGCAGCCTCCTTTAAACTGCTTATTTTAAAACAGGATAAACAGAGGATTAATAACCTTGCAGAGCACAGACAGCCCGGTTCCTCCCAGGTCAAAGGGAGCAGGGAAGCCTCGGCAGCATCCTCCCCCCCTCGTCCCCAGCAGCTGGGTGACAGCTTTGCCCCGAGCCCCAACACCCTGCCTGCCTCCCCCATGCTCCAGCCCCCTCCCCTGCAGCATGCCTGGCACAGCCGGGGGGCAGAACCCTGTTCCTGAGGGGGGCACAGCCCTGCCAGCAGCAACAAGGGGCTCCCTCCATCAATCTTGTGCCCACCGATCCTTCCCATGTGGGGTCTGGAGGGACAGTGCAATCCCAGGGCACCTGCACATGTCCAAGGAAAGCTCTACTCCCAGAGGAAATGCTGACCCCAAAAACATACCCCAGAGGTGAGCAGTGTCCACCCCAGCCCCCAAAAGGGTGTCCTGCAGGCACAGGGCATGCCCCGATTCAGCTGTAGGAATGAGGCCGTGCTGACAGCCGGCTTTCCCCTGCACCGCTTGGATTAGGAGGGTAAGATTTATGGGGATCAATCTGAATATTTTATGAATCTTCAAAATAAAATCATTTCAAGGTCAAGTCATTTTTCAGAGGGATTGAGACTCTGCTTCCCCTCCCTCTCTCCCCGCAAGTAGGATAGCAACACAGGTTCAGAACACATTTGCAAGTTAAAGCTGTCACTAAATGCACCATCTCACTCACTGAGCACAAACAAGTACTTGCTAGTGAGCAACTGCACAGCAGAAGGGGTTATTTCATGCAAGTCCCTGCATTGCTCACTCATTTCAGGGCAGATTTTCTGCCCAGCACCAGTGAAGAGCCACAGAGACTCCGGGTAGGGTGGAGGGGTGGGTGAGGACGAGCAGGAAGGTCCCTTTCACACTTCTCCTGCAAGACCTTGCTGACTTGGAAATGCCACATTTTCAGCAAAGCAGCAGCACGTCCAATAAATCACATCTGCACACGGCTTTATTCAGAGGCACTGACAGTTTAGGATTGACGACACCCAGGGCAACCTCGTGTCAAGCACTCCTAATGAAAACTATCCCATTTTGCTCCAGTAGTAGCAGCTGCCAACAGACATAATCTACTGGCATATGGAGAAGGCCATGCTAATCCCTGCAAGGTCATTAACAAGAGGGTGAAAATTACATGCAAAGCACCAGCTGTGGCATCCCCTGCTCCCTCACACTTGATGTAGCAGGGGCAACAGAGGTGAAAAATGCAAGTACATCTCAGCAGGCCAAGTGTTTCTGGTAAGAGCACAGCTATTTTCTCCCTTCCCCAAACCAAGGTTCAGTCCTGCTGAAATTCCTCCCGTGCAGGAGAGCTGCCTTTTACCAGCATTGCTGGGTTTTGCAGTCAGAAGTGGCTCAGGGGAGAGGAGTCCTGCAGGGACCTCATCTTCTGTGTCCGTGCAGCGCTTTGCACTCACACTGATGCTTGACAGGTAAACGCATCCCCCAAACACTCATTTGTGCCCTGGCTGGCCAGGACACTGGACAGACACCTGAGCACAGTGGTCCAAATGCCTTTATTGCAGCAAGGAGCAGCACTGCACAGGGTGAACGGGAAACATCTCCACCCCGTCTTCCCTCCAGCCCTTAATCTGCAAATAAACTCTGTCCCCATGGGCTTCCCTCAGATGTGCGTACTGTAACATTCACATGCACGTGAGCTCTGCTTCCATCACCCAAACTCCCTCCCAAGGAATACCTTACCCTCATATCTTCTTAGGAACTCAGGTTCTGTTTTTGTCTTTTCATTATACCACACAAACATTTTTTTATAAGCAATAAATTAAGAAGTCTGTTAAACAACCCCAGCAACTACCTAAAACAAATCTTTTCCAATTTAAATCCCAGCCTGCCTAATGATCAATCCCATAAGCCCCATTATTGTTAACATTACTTTGGGTAATGTTTAAAAACATTAATTTAAAAAAATGTAATAGGAAAAAAGCTCTTTAAATAGGCAAAAAGATAAATGGTCTCCAGCAGCATGACCTTTTTCCATACCACAGTGACATTGAATCATTTTAAAGTTATTTACATTTTCACTCTTCCTTGGAAAAATGTTGACAAGGCTTTCACGGGCCATAATGGATACCAGCAGCATCTATGGGAAGCGTAACTGCATCAAGAGCCCTTCCTCAATTCCTCTTCCCTGCCTCACGCAAAGCAGCTTTAATTAATGGAGGCGAGGTGACTTCAGAGCGAGGCTTCTCATTAGCACGACTGATCTGTGGGAGGTGACACAGCTCCCCAAAACACAGCTAAGGCAACCTGCAGCTATTTTTTTTAGCACCAGCATCTTTCTACCTCAAGCGTATGTGTTTTTAGCTCTGCTTTTCAGCGCTGGATTTGAGCTCGGGGCCTGTAGCTGCCCTCAGGCTCCAGGTCTGTCTGTGACAGCTGAAGAATACCTGAGATAACGAACGCCTGGCTTTGCTTTCCAACCCACTGAATGCACACAGGGAGCAGAGAAACCTTTCAGAAATGCCTCCTGCACAACATAGCCTGGAGCAGCAGGCTGGGTCATGGCTCTGCCCATGGAGGTGATACCCTAAGACCTGCAGCTTCGCAAAGCCTCTCCCCACATTGGGCATGTTCTTGTACTCAGACAGGGACAGAGACACCTTTGAAAGCATTGGGGTCTGGGCGGTTTTCCCTCTCCCCATGCCCTGCTGGAGGACGATCACTCAGGTCCTTTTGCTGGGAAGGAAAGCATCTCCCTGGGGAGGCAGGTGCTGGCTCTGGGCCTTCATCAGCCCCCAGCCACATCTCCCTGCCCTCTGCCCCAGCCCTAGCAGGGAGCACACAGCCCTACCGGGGCTCCCTGTGCTGCAACTCGATCCCTGCATGCCCTGATACAATATTTATGGCAGGAGCACGCCAGCCCACGGAGCTGCAGGAGCGATCGCCTTCCAGCTGTGCTGTGCCTGCAGGAGAAGCAGGGGCTCAGACACACACAGGTACAGAATCACCTCGCACCTGGATCTACTGCCCCCAGTCCCCTTTGGGGCAAAGAGACCCCTCTTGGGCTGCACACCTGAGGCAGTCCCAATACCAAGCACCAGCTGCAAAGCTCTGAGCTTTGATATTTCAAGTGGCAGCTTCTGTGAGTGCCATGGGTCACAGAGAAATACAGGAGCCTGCAGTGCTCTGCTTGGTCTGAGCAGTGCAGCTCGCACAGAGGACATAACCCTCCCTTTTATACCAAAGGGTGAAAGAAATACCCCATCTGATCAAAGCATATCCAATTAGTGCTCCTGAGTTAATGAGATGCTTCAACTAACACAAGGGGTTTTTTTATTATTATTCTTTCCCCTGAAAATGATGATTGTCCTGTTGGCAAATCCAGTGATAACAAAACCTGCACAAATCTGTTCTGATGGGTCTGGGGTACTGCTGTGCCTCCAGACCGAGCCACCACAGTCCTGTGGCCCTGTTGCTGCAGCACAGCTAATGCCGGCATCCCACAATTAGCAGACAGCATATTAATCCGTGCAAATAAATGAGTCTGGTCCTCTAGTCCAGAAAAACACTTGGGGGACCAATTCTTTATTTCTGAGTGTATGATTAGTACAAATTAAAACCAGAATAAGTTTTAATTTTGCCATATCGGGCAGCTTCATCAGAACAATCTTATCCCCCAGAGCCAAGTCCCAGTAAGAGCATAACGGGGAACATTTCAACAAGCAGCATGATTAGGATACTCCAGGAAAATTAATTTTGAAGCTCATGAAAGCCTCCTGTCAGGAGCAGGGCACAGCAAGGAGGCCACACTCAGAGAGTGAAAACGAGAAGGCCGTGCCAAGTGGTGCTGGTGGCAAGGAGCAGAAGCAGGGCCTGGCTCTACCCCAGCTGAATCACACTCATAAAAACCCCATTTACTGTGGGGCCAATTCAAAAGGATAAACTCAACAACTGGAGCCTCATCCCCACAGGCTGAGGCCTTGTGTATGGAGGCTGCCTGCAGCCCTCTGCCTTGCAATGGGGGGAACCACTTTTGAGAGCAAAACTAATGACGGTTAGTCACTAACCACTAAATCCTGGCTCAGGTTGGGGCACACAGAAGGAAAACCAGCCATATTTTGTGTCCTCACAAAATGGAACCACTCAACAACTGCAGCCCGTCAAACCCAGGCTGTGTTCAAGGACAGGCTTGTGTGCTCCACTGCAATCACCTGAGCTGAGCTTTTTGTCATTGTTTCTCTTCCATTACAGTTAGGAGAGACACAAGATGGAACCCAACCTCTCCCTGGATAGAAGTCACACCTCACCCAGCCCATGGCCTACGTGAAGGCCAAGATGACCCCAGGGAAGCCCAAGCACCCCAACTCAGAGGTGAAACCAGCCCCAACCCGTGCCCTTGGGACAAGCCCCACAGCCCCCCACTGACCTGTAGCACCAAGGGCAGGCTGAGGCCCAAATCCAACACAGGCACCGAGGCTGAGCCCATGCTGCAGGAGGGATGTGGTGGAGCGGCAGGACACAGCCCAGGGGAAGGGGGACAGGCAGCAGGAGCCATTAAATGCCCCCAGCCTCACCTGCAGAGCCCAGGTGGCAGTGGTTGAGGTGGGTTTGTCCTTAGAGAGGCTGGGGAGGATCAGCACTCGCAGGTGGGAACCAGGCTCCCACCCCAAATATGACACAGCCCCATTTCACCCCACTGCTCTGTACGTCTGCTAAATGCCCCCTGATTTACCCCGGTGTAAGAGGGGGGAGCCTGGCACTGCACCCCCACGCCTGCCGTTAATGAGTATTCCCCCGACGTGCTCTTTCCGTGGATTGAGACCCACATCCTCCCTCGGCAAAACAGAAGTGATTCCTGAATTAATTTAGATTTCCCGCTGCCTCGTTAGACCAGCTGGATATGGCACGCTTCATCTTCTCTGCAAACAGTGCCGCCGTCCCTCCGGGACACTCAGCACTTTATAAACCTGTCAAGCCCTTAAAGCCGGCGACCGTGAGGCTTCGCCACGCAGCGCGTGGAGGTTTGTGGCCACACACACGCCGGCCAGCCCCGGAGAGCAGAACCAGCACCGAGGGCTTTGAGAGTTTGGGGACGTTGTTTTGTGCTATGGTTTCATTTAGGAGCGAGAAAAAAAGAAAAACAATAAAAATAAAAAAAAAAAAGCCCTGCATGATTTATTTTAAAGCATCCAAGCTGCTGCAAACTGCAACGCTTTGAGAGCATATGTATATACATGGGGGAGAGGAGATTGTCTCCAAAGCCATTTGCATTTGTTCCCCTCCCTCCCTCACATGGTGTTTTGCAGAGGACTCATCGTGGAGACAGAGGGAATACCTGCAACATCTGCGGGCATCAGACCTCTGGGTGCACAGCACCCCATCCAGACGGTGTTCATTTGCAAAACACGCTGTCCTGCCAGCACCTCCAAGGCTGATTTATTTCCTCTCCTCTTCCCTCAAGCTTCCCCAGACACGTTTTGCACAACCAGCATCGATTCAGCATCTCACCACCTCCCTCGGGACGAGGGCTCCCCGATAACCCTGGTGCTTGGGGGGGTCCCCAAAGGGGTGCAGGTGACGAAGCCCCACGCATGTCCCCGGGGCCGCTGCTGCTGGACCCAACACTGGGTCTGGATGGAGCCCAGCTGGAGCCCAGCCTCGCCGCCCCCACGGCCGTTTTTGCAGCCGAACAGGTCGGCGTCTGATGGAGGCTCTGCCGTTTGGGTCCCCGAGGGATTACGATGTGACTGCAGCAGGTCCCGGCTATTCTCCGCGGCCCGGCGTGTTGTTGCTTCATTAAACGCCAAATTGTTACATTAATTCTAACTGCCCTGTAGAGATGTAGCTGTCAGGAATGATTTACTCGCCTCCAGCTGACTCGGAGACTTTCTGCAGGCTCCTGCAGGCGGAGGAGCCGGGGAGGGCAGAGCCTGGGGACGCGGGACGCGTGTCCAGCCGGGCAGCGGCAGCAAGTGGCTGTGACATCCCCGGGGAGACAGAGACGCTTCTCAGACAGCAGTGGAAAAATAACCAGAGAGCTAAAAAAAAATAAAATAAAATAGAAATGGTGTGGAATTTGTTTGTGTTTGGGCTGGGGACCAAGGCTGCCCAGTTAAAGCAGCATCGTTCCTGTGGCACTCACCGAGCTGCCTCTGTCCCAAGCCTGCGATCGCTGCCTCACCCTGGGGAGGGGGATCAGTCACACACTGTGTCCCAAACCACCCCTGCTTCCCCCCCTGCCTTCCCTGGGTTCGGAGCAGGAATCCCAGTGCCTCACAACCTGGGATCAGCCGTGAGGAAGGAGGCAGCCGGGTCTCCTCCGATCGGGTCCGCAGCACCAGGGTCTGTTTCATCCGCTGTTGGAAATTACCTGCGCCTTCATTCAAAACGGAAAGAGAGCTCACGTACAGAAACTGCATTCTAACACGGAGAACTTCATTTAAATCCAGAAGCCTCGCATACTTGGTTATTAAAATATTTTTCATCACCACGTTGTGAAATGCTGAGCACAAAAGCAGCGAGTGCTTCGTGTGCCCTAAATCAACGCCTTTGCTGGGCTCTGTTCCCTGTCCACTACATCTGTGCCAACAAACACGCCTGCGTGTGCTTCAGCACAAAATGCATCCCGCTTAGAGACATAATAAAGATGTCAGAAAGAAAAAAAAAAAAAAAAAAACTAATTTAAACACCTTTGCTTTTTTTTTTTCCAGCATATTTTTGCTCGTTTGGTTTCCCTGTCATGTTTTAACAAAGCCATTTGCTGCCTGTGAATGTTGTTTCAGTGCATAAATTGTGCAGGTCTCCGCTTTCCTGCCTTCCCTGGGCTGCGCAGGCTTCACCGCGTCAGGTTACGGCCGCGAGGAGTTGGCTCCGCTCCGCCGTGAGCAGGTTGCAGAGCTGAGCCCGTGGAAACTGAAAAAAACTCAAACAAAAGGGTGGCGGGGCTCTCGCCTGGCCTGAGAGGTCTGCCTGTCACAGGGAATCAGGACGAGAAAAAATTAGTTATTTCTGCTGTTTGGCATGAAAGCTAAACATTTCTTGCATCTGCAGGGAACACGAGCTCAGGGCACAAGGACTCATGAAATGTGAAATCGCTGTTCAGAAAGAAAAGATTCGTACGTTAGATTTTCCTCCTGGAGAGCACAAAAAAAGCCTTAGCTCCTGTCATGCACTCACACGAACCAGCGGAGGTTATAAAGCCCCCCCTGCAAACCGAGCAGGGCAAAGCCCCTCTTCCTAATTCTGCCTGGGCTTTACAAGCTGTCAGTCAGTTGCATGCTGTTAGTTTTATTTGCTTCTTCCAAATTGGTTTTCTTTTTAACAGGAGGAAAGCATTTATATTAATGGCACCCCTGGGCCTCAGCCCTGGAAGGAGAGCAACCCCCGACTCCTGTGGGATGGGACGGGATGGGACAGGATGGGACAGAATGGGACAGGGTGGTTGGGGAGCTCCTCTCTGCATGCAGACAACCGCAAACATCAGGACCTTCCAGCCCCTTCTGCCGTTCAGCAAAGCACAAAGGAGCAGGGGGAAATTTGCATTTCTTCCTTTCTTAAATCCAGGCATCCCCGGGCAATTCCCCAAGCGAGGGGAACAGTGTCGGGTGTTTGCTGTGGGGGAAACCAGGAAAAAAAATCTACAGAATAGTTGTTTGATAACTACAGTCTCTAGACAGTGGTTTTATAACAGCATCATCAGCCTGAATTAGACTACATTTCTGTCTTTCTGCTCTTGTTTTCTTCTCTTCAAAGTCAGTCTTTTCTAGGAAATTATTATTTATACTTTAAGTGCCAAATGTCTCAATGCAAAACAATTAGCCTGATTTGGATGGGGTGTTTCTAGATCAGAGAAATAGAAAAGGAAAAAAAAAAATAATAATAAAAAATTATTGACAACAAGAACTCTTTTCTTCTTGGGCGAAGCTTTGTCATCTGATTTTTAAAATCCCATAAATTTCTGGTTACTTCTTATGGTTCAGTAAGAAACGTTCCTGCAATGTGGCCCCGAGCTAGCAGCAACAGTTGTCCTGTCCCTCCCTGGTGCTGGTGCAGGCAGAGAGCAGCTCCCGAGCCCTGCTGCTGAGCCCAGCTCCAGCCTCAGGCCTGGCAGAGGCTGAATTCAGCATCACCCACCTGAGATCTCCCCTGGGAGCTGAGACACGAGGGGTTTCACACCAGCAGCCACCCAGTGCTGCACTGTGGGGTTTCTCCCTGCCTTCCCATAGCCCTTGGACTGCGTCTCGTGCAAGAAGAGTGAATTCTGCGCCCAAATCTGTTGTGCTTTGGGTGCTTTAGCCCCAGTCCCGGTGGCAGCAAACCCCCAGGAGCTGTGTGCTGGCAGCTCGCCCTGCAGCAGCAGCAGCCGTGGGCATCGCGGGGGGCACAGCTCAGCCCCGGCAGGCTGCCGACAGCACAGGCTGGACGTGACGTGCTGCTTCTCGGATGTGATGTGTGTAAGAGGAGACGCTCGCACAGCACTGCAGGCTAACTATATTTTGCATCTGCTCCTGCAGGCTAAGGGAAGGGGCTCAAACCCTGGGCACAGCACAGCGCTTCCCTGCCCGGCTGCTCCCTGCGGAGCCGCCTGGGCTGTGAGCGCTCAGAGCTGCTCACAAATGTGTCCCAGCTTCCCGGGGCAGGGAGAGGCTGGAAGCCCACGTGCTTTAAAAAATATCTCCCACCTGCTTCTTGAATCAGATTTCAGTAAAGAGCTTCCCTCTGCTCCGAGCTGTGGGACTGGAGGCATTCGTATATGAAGACGCACGCGTGCACGCACCTCTCATGTGTGTACGCACACAGGGAATGTGTATGTTTGGCCAAACTTAATTCCATAGTGTTTTTTTTTTTTTTTTCCTTGATTTCTCTTTGAAATATTTCAATATATTTTGCACTGTTCCCTGTGCACAGCTTCCAGTTCACAGCCGTACAACACCAGGCTCTGGGAATTGCTCTTGCTTTGTCGCCACAACTTTCTGCCTTACCTATTTCTAACTTTGCAATGAATGCTGAAAATAACCACGACCACCAAAAATGATCAGGGGCTGTGCCTGCACTGGGCAATGCTGTTTGGATCTCCCATGGGCTGCCAGCCTCTAAAACCATCATTTTTTGTTTCTGTTCATCAAAATATTTTTACATCAGTGGGATTGCTGCTGTATTGCTGGGAAGAGTGCGCTTTGACACTTTAGTGGATCAGAGCCTCAAGTTTTGGGGGCTTTTCCTTTTATTTCCAGGTGTGGTATTTACCTCTATTGATGCTTTTGATGTGAATTTAGCAGAAGACTATTTAAAGCTTAGCTGACAAATTTATTTGTAGTCTTGAAGTATTTGATCATCAGAGAGAAAGCGAGAATATAAATAAAAGACACGGGACGTTCACATCATCTACAGTAAATTCAACCATTTTTACAGGTAACAATATACATAATGCCTGGCCCTTCCTCACAGTCGGCTCGTGCCGTATCTGTGGGATGACACAAATGCCTCAGACAGAGAAGTGCCACCAGGGAGGCGAGCGCTCTCCACGACGAGGAGCGGCTGAAACGGAGCCACCGGCCCCTGCCCAGAGCCCTCCTGGGAAGGAATTTGGCAACAAGACATCAGGACGAGGCTGAGACGCTTTGCAGTAAAACTCTTGCAAAGGGAATTTAAAGAAAAACATGAAATTCA